CTTTGGGGCGAGGGCTTGGCACCCCATCAGACTCACCCAGAAAACACTCCTAAAGGACAACAAACAGTCCTTGAGCTAACTAGAGGCTTTTCTTTTTTTTGTCATTGATTTTTTTGTTGTTGTTTTGTTTTGTTGCTTTGCTTTGCTCTGTCTAGTTTTTGTGCCTATTCTTATCTCTGCAGGTCTTTCTAGATAAGGTAGGTGGGATAGACAATCTGGAGGATAAAAAAGAAAACCTTAGAGAGCCTAGTTCTGGTCTGAGACACACGAGGCTGCCATGAATCAGAGTCGGCTCAATGGCCACTGCTGGCACTATGAATTGATCTCCTTCTCACCTTGTCAAAGCAGGTCTGTTGGAGAAGACTGGTTAACGAAGCCATTTTCAAGGCTTCCAGTGGAGTTTAACTTCCACTAAAATTGAATATACATGTTGGAAATGAACAAATTGAAGCAAGAGGTTTGTCTACAAGTCTGAGTGAGGTGGAGAATTTTAGAAACGTTTCTCATCCCAATTTTTATTACCTCTCTTTGAAAACTTACCTATTTCTTTCGCCAAGGTCCACACACTCCGAAACCTTCGGTAAGCTCCGCGTCTCTAAATACTGATTTCTCTCTCCGTTGTTCCCAGTCATTGTCTACATCAGAGCAAAAGACGAGCGTTTAGAACTCTATGCAAAAGAAAATGCTATTACACACCAATGGTCAGAGACCATGTTTACAAACCTTTTATTATCTGTGATCATGCGTTTGTTGAAACTTAAGTTTCCTTAGTTTATTTTCTCATTACTTTCTCGTAGTAAAGCATGACTAACGTGGTCTTCACAGGAAAGTGTGAATTAAGGTGGCCTTGCTTTCTCTAAACTGGGGCCCACAGCCGGCCTCGGTGTTTATATAGACTGACAGCAGCAAGCCTGTCCGTACCATCCTTTACTTTAACAGAGGGTGAGCATCTCCCACCAATATTGCATAAAGACTCCACTCTGCCTTCCACATCTTGCACAATTGAATTACACTCAAGGTCCTGACTCGTGATTTGCCAGCGATGCTTATTTTTCACATTCCCTGAACTGGGTCTTTCGTTAGCAGTGCCACATAGATGATAAATATCAGAGTCTGTTTTGTTTCCCATGTTCTCTTTTTATGTTAATATATCAAGACGCATTTAATAAACTCACATCATATGCCTGCCAGTGCCCGTGCTGAATGATCGGAACACAAACATGATACATAATAAAAATCAAACCCATTGCTATTAAGTCAATTCTGACTCAGAGTGACCTCAGGAGACCCAATAGGACTGCCCCGTGGGGTTTCAAGCCTGTAACCCTTTACAGAAGCACACAGCCCATATTTCTTCTATAGAGTGACTGGGGGTCTCCAAGTGTGGATCTTTCAGTTAGCAGGGGAACACTTTAGTACTGTTTCCCAGGGCTCCTATGAATAACAGTTGTATGAGCCCCTAATAAAATGTTAATAATAAAAAAAAGAATAACAATAGTTACTGATATTGGTTGAGCACCTACTATGTGCCAGGCACTGTGCCTAGTACTTCAGACGAATGACGTTCTTTCATTGTGCATTCTCATCGTTGTCACTTCACAGATGAGAAAATGTAGTGTTGGAAGGTCTGTTGGATGGTCGAGTCGCCTGCCTGATACTCCGACGGATTATTGGCAGAGCTGGGAAGTAACCAGATCACACAATCCCAGGGATCTTTAAAGACTGGATAAATCCTTTGTCTTTTCCTGGCTCATCCCTTGTGCTGGGTCCTGAGCTAGTCGCTGTCTAGTTCTATATAGGACTGGTTGCCTTTTGGACAACCTGTATGTCCACAGCATCGAGCAACTATAATCAAAGGCTGGCTTTGTTGGCACCTGTTTCCTTTACATGCTAATTGCCAAATGTTAGGCTCTTGGGAAATAGAGGCCTCCGAAAGAGTTTTTGCTTTCCGCAAGTTCTACACCTTTGCATTAGGGGCTCGTACTTAAATGGAAGGAGCTGAGCCTGGCCAGAATCTGAGCCATGTGTGATTGAGGAACGAGGATCCTCTCTTATTACTGCAAGAATCGATATTCAGACATAGGATGTGCTGCGGCTGCTGTTAGGAGGAGCTATGGTGGCATAATGGGTTATTGTGAACCACAAGGTTGGCAGTTCAAATCCAACAGCTACTCTGTGGGAAAAAGATGAGGCATTCTATTCCCATAAAGATTTATAACCTCATAAACCCCTGGCGGAATTCTACTTTATCCAAAAGGTCACTATGAGCCTGAATCACCTCGATGGCAGTGAGTTTGCTGTGGAGGTTTTTTTGTTTTTGTTTTTTGGAGTTGTTGCTGATACAAACAGGGAAGATTGTGCCCAAATCTCCCATCCCATGGCAGCATAATGCCTTGAACATCTCAGGCCTGACTTGCACCTTGAGATCCATCTAAACCCCTGCATTCATATTTACATTTCAATCCAGGACAGAACCAGCTTCCCCCTTCTTTTTTTTTTTTTTTAACATGGAAAAATAAGGAACTGTATTGTGCCATTTGACAAGGAGGTTTAGAGGTAGGGCACGGTGGGTGTACTCAATTACATATTAATGTCGTCAAGAATCCAGATTTCTTCTACCCTCATGCTACCATTTCTGGCGACAATTTTATCTTCAGGCAATCACAAGGGAATTATGGAAATTCTGAGCATCGTACACAGCCACACCTACATCTGGAGAAGAAAGGCCGCTCTCAGGACTGAGGATATATATTTTTTCTTTCATCATTTTATTAGGAGCTCTTACAGATATTGTAACAATCCATAATTCAATTAGATCAAGCATAGCTGTACAATTGCTGCCACCATCATTTTCAAAACATTTTCTTTCTTCTTGAACTCTTTGATCAGCACACAGGTGGCAAAATGGCAGTAGGGGAGTTCCGAACACTATCGGCATCAACTCAGGCAGCTGAACAAGGAGCCCTGGTGACACAGTGATTACGTCCATGGACACGAACCAGCCCACTGTGAGAAAAAGATGTGGCATAGTGGTTATGAGTTGGGCTTCAATCTGCCTGGCCAGCAGTTCAAAATCACCAGCAGTTCAAAACCACCAGCAGCTCCTTGGGAGGAAGGCTGGGCTTCCTACTCCTGTAAATAGTTGCTGTCTCAGAAACCCACAGGAGGGGCTTCATGAGTCAGCAGTAAGAATATTCACGGGCTCCTTCCCCACGTGAACACGAGGTAGAGGCTGTGGCCAGCGCCCCAAGCACCTGGGAGAGTGAACCCTCCCCAGGTAGTTGAGGTTGGGCCAGAGACACACATGGTGAATTGTGGGTGTGACACATCTGAATGGACCGGAGAATCATGAAGCTCATTCTTGGCATCTGTCATTCTCATCTCCAAATCTACCATTAAAAAAAATAACTTTATAACCAGACAGCTCAGTGGATACAAATGTTATATAAACCGGTTCCATAACAGAACTCTGTCATCTTTTTTAAAAATTAAAAAATCAGTATCAGGGAATTTTATTGAGAGTAAGAGGAATCATTTCTTTTCTACATTAGTTCCCCCTTGGTGTAAAACACAAATCAATGCAACAGCACAACTAAGCACCCCTCCTCACCTCCCTAGTTCCCCTTCCGTTCTGCCTTCAGGTTAAGTATTCTGTCTTTTACAATCTCAAACGAAGGGAAATCTGTTGAGCATGTGTCTGATATTCTAGAGCTCATTTAAGCCCACTATGTGTTTGAAATACAGCAATATGTGGAAACACTTATACAAACTGTGGTCACAGAGCTCTCCCCCCATCTCACCCCCTTCAACATAACTTTCCTTTCTGCCAAGATGCTTTTTGGCAGTTTTTAAAAGGTTCACTCTATTAACACTGTTATAGACCAAATGGTTTTTCGATTGTCTTGACTGGGGGGCTGATTTCAGCCACAGAAGGAGGGGCTGCAGAAGGCCAATGTCTCGTTTATTTACGCGGCGGGTTGTTATTTGGAGTTGACCCTCCTCCGGAGGCCGTCAGGGTGGACCGTGGGTGAACGAGGAGGGAGATTCAGGCCTCCAACGAGAGGACACGTTGGCTCTAAACCAAGGCTGCCCGAAGCGAGGGGAAGGGCCGCCAGTGCCCCGTGGTTGAGCATGTCGTGTTTTCCTGTTTACATGATTGCCCGTGGCACCGGGCTGCCCCAGGCCGTGCCAAGCACTTTACCAAAAGCGGCACCACCACCAGCTTCTTCTTCTTGCAGTTGCACTTTTGGACCCGACATTCTTTTCATCTAATTTTGTTTCCAAAATATGTGGATGGGGATACCCAGAGGGAGACCAAGAATTGCTTTTACCAAATGTGGTCCATCCCTCTGCATCCGTGTTTTCTTCTCTCCACTCTAGAACAAGAAGCTCCTCTACGAGAAGATGAAGGGAGCACAGCGGCGCCGGCGGCGGAGGGTAAGGGACAGACAGCGGGCAGGGTGGTTGTGGGGATGCTTGGAGCTTCCTGAGGGGGATCATGGTCAAGCTGCAGCCCCAAATTAGCAGGAAGAATCTGAGCAAACGGAAAGGTGGTTCTGTGTAATCAGCCACACCCAGGCAATCTGCCCTTGGGTTGCTCCCCAGGCTTCCCTGAGCTTTGATGCACTTGGTAGTTTTAGTGGAATCCCAAGTCCCATAGTAGTCCATCACCTGCCCTCCGCCCAGTCAACGTGTGCTGAATCTCTCCCTTCAGTGTTGGGCATCTGGGTTGGTCATGAGGATAAGTCTGCCCTCAAAGGGCAGGAGGGCCAGTGGGGCAAACTGTTCACACATCTGCAACAATTCTATGAAAAACAAAGGCAGGGCGCTTGTTTATCTTTAAGCCTTTAAGACCCCAGATGCTACATCTTTTGATAGCCGGGCACCATCAGCTTTCTCTACCACTTTTGCTTGTGTATCTGCTTTGTCTTCAGCGATCATGTCAGGAAGATGAGCATCATGGAATGCCAGTTTAATAGAACAAAGTGTTCTTGCATTGAGGGAGTAGTTGAGTGGAGGCCCAATGTCCATCTGCTTGCTACCTTAATACTAAACCTATAAATATATGCACATAAATCTATTTCCCTATTATCATCTATAAATATATTTACGTATGTACATGCCTGTATTTAGACCTCTATAAATGCCCTTTGCTTCCTAGTTCTTTCCTCTATTTCCTTTTACTTTCCTGTTGTCCCACAATCATGCTCAGCCTTCATTTGGGTTTCAGTAGTTCCTCTCAGTTACATTGCTCTGATCAAGCCCTACAGGCCTCCTACACTTTCCTTGCCACCGATTTTGGATCATTTGTTGTTCCCTTGCCCCTGGGGGATGGACAACAGAAAAGTGGGTGAAGGGAGTGGGTAAAGTATGACAAAATCATAATAATTTATAAATTATCCAGGGCTCATGAAGGAGGGGGTAGTAGGGCAGGAGGGGAAAAAAACTAGGAGCTGATACCAAGGGCTCAAGCAGAAAGCAAAATGTTTTGACAATGATGATGGCAACAGATGTACAAATGTGCTGGACACAATGGATGGATGTATGAATTGTGATAAAAATTGTCTGAGCCCCCAATAAAATGATGAAAAAAAACAAAACAAAAAAAGAAAAACAAAGGTAGGGCACAAGCAAGTGATAAATTGTGTGCTCCGTGCAAGAATTTTGAAGGAATTGGAGGCCAAAGATGGAGTGAACAAGTCTTATTCTTCCCACGTCTCTGTTTTAAATCTTGGCCTAACTTAGATGCACGTGATCCCTTCTGTTTGTTTACGGGATGTTGAACTTCCCACGTGCTTAGTTCTTACCTTTCCTTGGGCAGTCCAACGTAGGACTTGGGTCTAAGTGCTCTCTGCAGTTTGCTCCTATGATATTGTCTGGATGCTGAATTTGCTTTGGGTTCCAAATGCATTTGTGTCACCGAGACTTAACAAATGACCAGTGTCCCCCCTTCTGCTAATCCACTGGTCCTTTACTTGGCAGAAAGGCCTGGCCACTTGTCATCATCTTTTCCTGCTCGGACAGATGGGATAAAAGAAAAGCCCCCAGCTTTTACACGGCAAGGGGGGAGTAGTGGTTCAGTGGTCAAGGGCTTGCCTCTCCAGAGGAAAACCCGGTCAGTTTCTGCCCAGTGCACCTCATCTATGTCCACCAGGCACCTGTCAGGAGAGGCTTGCCTGTTGCTATGATGCCGAACAGGCTTCAACACCACTTCCAGAGTAAAACAGGCCCAATGGTCTATTTCTGAAACATCAGTCAGTGGGTGAAAGGTCTTCGCATCACAGGGTTTTATACCATTGCACATGGAACAACACGAGTCAAAGTCTGATTGGATAGCAGCTAACAACAAGGGCCATCTTGCTTGGTAAAGTAGAAGAGGCAACAAAAGAGAGGCAGGAAAGAAGGTGGCTTGCCACCATGCCGGCAAGGGTGGGCTCACACATAGCAATGATTATGAGGCTGTTGCAGGACCAGGCAGTGTTTCATTTTGCTGTACACAGCATCCAGCAAGAGTGACAACCACGATGACATGGTGACATGCTACGGGTAACAATCCCTTTAGTTAAAACCTACAAGAGGACACCAAGCGCCACTGATGGTGCATTCAGAGTAGCAAGTGGCCGATTTCTGGTAACGTGGGAATCCCAACGGTGGTCACTGGGGTCATTCTGAATCGCTTTGCCTAATCCAGTCAGACAGTGTTGGCAGAGGTGTGAATTTCCTGGCCTCGTATAAATCTTGTGTCCCCACAGCAGAAGGTTCCAGGCTCCTGTGCTTCCTGACAAAACCCAGATGACCCACAGTCAGTTTTCTATTCACGAAACGGCGTTTTGGTGTCTGGAAACAGATCTCTGGGAGAGTTCACTGGGGTAATACGGTTTTCTTGGGTGGGGGGTGGATGGGGGAAGCGGTGGCCGGTGATTATAGCTTCTGTTTAGCATCATGGCAGCTGATGGCTGGAAGGGTCTAGAGGGTGTGATGTGGTCTTGAGAGAACATCAAGAAATTCTATTCTAGAAAGTCAGAATACACATAATTTACCAGCAGGACTGGCTGATGATCCCCCCATGGCCCAACATGGCCCATATTTCCAAACAAGACCAACGACTGACCTACAATGAATAAGTGCTCATTGTCTCTACTTCCTGGCCCACCATCCCTTCTGTCTTGACTTGGTGGATGACTGTAGGTCACAATTTAGGTCATTGTTCCATGAGACCACTGATTACCCAAACTCTGAATTCTGGCAAAGACACATGTTATCAAAGATTCCAATTTGGCCTCAGCTTCCTCCACAGAGGAAAAGAAGGGTCACTTTGACCCAGAGGTATCCAGTTCTTCCTCTTTCCCAGCATCTACGAAGACCCATGCTCTTGCCCTTAGCCATGGGCCTCTTGAACCTGAAGGAGAAACAGAGCCACTTCCTCCCATGAGGAGGCCTCAGGTGGTCTCATCTTGATTAAAGACCTCTTGCACGCCCCTCAAGTGTACAAATCAAAATAAGATATTGCCGAGTTCCATTTTTTAGAAGAAAAACTGAAAGCTTCCTCTCCAGCGAAGTGCAGCATCTTATGTGGGTTTTCAGAAGATCCAATCCCAATGTTTCCTACAGATGAAAGCCCCTAGGCTTCTGCATGGACTTGAGGGCTGCACCTGGCTACACCATGGATAAATCATTTGATCCAGACCTCTGCATTTTTATTCCTCCC